TATTTATTTATTTATTTATTTATTTTATTTATTTATTTTTTTAATGTTTAGTTATTTACTTGGGGGTGGGAGAGAGAAAGAGAGAGAGAGAGAGAGAGAGAGAGGGAGAGAGAGAGGGAGAGAGAGAAAATCCCAAGCAGGCTCTGCGCTGTCAGTACAGAGACTGACATTGGGCTCGATCCCATGAACTATGAGATCATAACCTGAGCTGAAATCAAGAGTCCCACACTTGACTCACTGAGCTACCAAGACTCCTCCCACTTTTATCCCCTAACACAGTCAGTCTTTCAGAGAAATACTTGCCACTGGGGGACCCTCTTTGGGGGAAGTGCAGCCATTATAAAATTCAATAATCCAAATCCCTATTGAGCTCCTACTTACTCTAACCCAGAAGGTAGAGACATAACAATGAAAACTCATCGACTGCTTTGGAAAGAGATTAAGCAGGGGAGAGGGATGGGGAAGGGCAGTTTTCTAGACTTGTCAGACAAGCCTCATTTAGAAGGTGACAAAGACCCAGAGGTGAGGAGGCAAGCTAAATAAATTGGAACCTCAGAATAGATCTAATTACATAAATACTCAAAACAGTGAATGAATAGTTTAGAATTCAGTTTAAAAGCAAAATATTAAAATGTGCTCTTTAGGGGCGCCTGGGTGGTTTAGTTGCTTAAGTGACTGACTTTGGCTCAGGTCAGGATCTCACGGTTTGTGAGTTCGAGCCCTGCATGGGGCTCTGTGCTGGCAGCACAGAACCTGCTTTGGATTCTGTGTCTCCCCCTCTCTCTGCCCCTCCTCTGCTCATGCTCTATCTCTGTCTCTGTCTCTCTCAAAAATAAATAAGATAAACATTGTTTTAAAAAGCTTAAAAAACCACAATAAAAACAAAAAAACGTGCACTTTAAAAGAAGTTAAAATCAAGGCTGCTCAAAGTATGCAAGTTACACCGTCACTTAGCTGCAGGCTCAGTGATTCTGAGCAAGCACTAACTGGGGACTGTGATCATTATCTGCTACTGAGGTCAAAATGAACATTTACATATTGGAATGCATTTTACAAGTGACTTCCCTTTTGTGTTTTCTTTACAGTTATGCATCATATTGCTTTTTTTAATGCTTAGATAGGTCCAGGATATTAAAGGGGTTGTGACAAAATAATTTTCATAGAAAAGAGACCTCAGGTCCAACAAAAAGGTCAAGAGCCCCAGTGGAAATGATTGCCAGATGCATGAATCAATGTGCCTCACACCCAGCCTCAAGACTGTGAGAAATCTACTTTTCTCGAGCTGTTTGGGGCTGGAGGGAAAGAAACCACAATGTGTTGTGTGCATTTGCTGCTCTCGTCTGACGCGTCTCTCCTGTGTCATCTCCCAGGCTCCTCTCTGGACGTGTTTCCTGATCTGTGTAACGCAGAAACCCAACCCAACAACCAAGGAGCTGAGGTGCTGGCATTGTACTGGCGACACTGGGCACACAGTATGTGGTAAGCCAGTAGTTGCCCGCATTAGTGCAAACTCAAAGTCTCTCAGGTGGCCTTCCTGCCTCCACCATGGAAAGGGTTTGATGCTTCTATCTCTCGCTGCCCTCTTCCTGAGTCAGCACCTCCCCACCTCGGATCACCCCTCTGCCCACCTGCTCATGCAGCTCGTCTTCTGGGCTTGGCTTTTCCTTGTGGTGCTTGGCATCCATACAGACATTGAGAAGCTCAGTCCTGGGCCGGGCTGCCCACACTGCGGCCACCCCCGCCAGAAGGAGCAGCAACTCTGTTGTCACCAGCTGGGCCATGTCAGTGTCTGAAGGAAGACCTGTGGTCAGTGGCACCAAGAAAAGCAGAGGTGGGGCCTCCAGGTGTGTGGGAATAGCCCCAGGTGGGTGGAGCCTCCAAGAAGCCTGGGCCCCGTCATGCCCCACCCCTACCCCTATCTTCATAGCCTCAGGGAGAGGAGGGATCAGACACCGCCCTCTGGGACAGTCCTTGCTAGTGTCATTAGTGACTTCTCCAGGTGGACAGGAGGATCAAATGATGAAACTAAGGGATGGGGTTTGGGCAAAATGAAGAAATAGCCGGGAGATTGCCATAGGTCCACAGTCTTGTTTGAAATCCTTGGAGGCAAGTGTTTCAGAATTTCAAGTATTTAGGATTTTGTAAAAGGTAATACAATTCACCTGCACGCAACAGTCAAGCATACATTCTGTGCTGAAATAGCTACACTGGTGAGAGAAATAAAAACTATAATAACCTCACATTAATTTTCAGGTCAGATTTTGACACCAAATGACTTTGTGCAAACTTTGACAATAACCTCAGTTTTGGAGCTCCAGATAAGCCGCAGACCTAAGTTTAAAACAAGACAACAAAACCCAGCCCCAGTTCCAGCCCTTCCCAGCCTCATCATTTGGCCTCTTCCGGAGATCCTGCGCCTCGGGGAATGTCCCAGGGCACAGAGGGCTGTGGGCAGCCAGCTGGACAGCCTCCGGGGCCTTGGGGAGGTTCCTGCCCCCGACCACAGAGCTGGCCTCCCTTTGGCCTTCGTAGCACCTGAATCCTCTGAATTCAGACACTGAACCTTGGGAGGGAACTGACCGTTCCTTCACCCCACCGGTCACCAGGCGCCTGGGCTCTCCTAAAGTTTGGCATTCGTTTCCCATGGCTCCCAAAGCGCACACGCCCCTCTGCTCAAAGTTGCCTTGTCTCCACACTGCCTTGCCCTCCCCGCCCTGTCCTGTGGAGCTCAGGCAGCTTCCTTGGCCTCCTGGACGGGACCTGAGCTGGGTGGCCTCCAGGCTGACTGCCTGGCAGGGCTTGGGAAACCTGGAATTGAATTCCCACCTCCCCTCTCCTCCTCGCCCCTCACCTTTCCACAATCCAATATTCTGCTGCTCTATTTACTCCAGCGTTTATTCATTCTCTCACTTGGTAATTCATTCATTCCAGGACCCAATCATCTTTCTCATGACCCAATCACTCACTGATTGGGTCACAAGACAAATCAGTACTCTCGGGAGCACCAGGTGACTCTTTGGATCAGGCTCTTTGGGGAAACACGGTCTAGCAGTTTAGAGCACAGTTCTCAGCCCTAACACACCACCTCTGGCTTGACCTTGGGGGAAAATAACTCAAATTATCTTGAGCTTTAGCGTCCTCATCTGAGCACTAAATGTAGGGGAGAAAACCCTAACAAATGAGAGTCAGCTGGGCACGGATTGTGTCATCAGTTGGCTCAGGCTGAGGGATGTGCCCCACCTACCATAATAGAGACCCCCCAAGATTGATACAGGCCCCTCGATTCCAGAGCTCCTTCAGCTTTGTCCCTTGCAACCTTCGCTGTGCTGAGGCTTTCATGGAGGCCGCTGATGGAGAGTACTAGGGAGGCCTGGGTGGAGGCTGAGAAGGCCCTTCCCCAGGCTTGGTGGGCCCCACCTGGTCGGTCAGTAGTTTTTCTTGCTGTGGTGGTTGCTCTCTAGAGTCAGAGCTCTCTTCTCCCTGCAGCCTATGCACTCTGCAAGTTGCTCTCCACATTCCTAGTCTCAGCTTCAGATACTGGTGCAGCTATGCCCCCACCAACCACCATCACCCTGAACAGACACAACCCAGGGCCCCAGACGTGAAGCGCTAAGAACCCAGCACTGTGCTGAAAGGTAAAAGTCCGCTGGTTCTAGTTCGGTGGTGGACACCAGCTTGTGGTTTTAACCTTGGGCAGACCCTGCTCTGCTCTGGGCCTTTAGCTTCCACTTCTGATTTCTCTAGGATTTAGGCAAAGTGGATCCTCTCGGTGCAGCAAATTCTTTAGCACATGCTGAGAGCACAGCGGGGTGTGTTGCCTCTACTAAAGGGGTGGGGAGTGGCATACCTGGGAGAGGAAGTGGTTCCTGGTCTGGCTCAGGCCTCTGCTCCGCTCTACAGTCCCCCTTGCCTTACTCCGGGGCACAGCCGCGGTTTAGTGGCCTAGGAGACGGGCAGTAGGTCAGGCAGCAGGGAATGTGGCCCAGGAGTGGAGCCGGGA